ATTTAAAGGCTCTTCTGTAATAGTGATGTTTCTCTTACAACACTTCAAGCTGAATTTAGGCTGAGTGAGAGAGAAACATCTGCATGTACAGACACCTTGGCGTTCAGGCTGTCTAATGAGGTTGGTGCTGTCTTTTGTGATCACTGTTGTATGCACGTGCAGGTCACCTGCAGCGTCTTGTCGAACCAGCGGTTGCCACTGTTCCACTGGCTGCCTCCTCCGTGCAGCATCTGGATGGCGGCACAGCTGCGGTAAAGCTCATTAGACACCCGAGGCATCGCTCCATCCAGACACAGTGTGAAGATGCTTCTCTGGATAGCCAGCACCGACTCTTTGTTGGTTTTATCTGCACACACAAAACAAAAAGTGACTAAACTGCTCCACAGACTCGCAGCTCTCATAACACAGTCAGCGTAATGTTGGCTCACCTTTGATGAGGTTGAGGTAGGCTTTGCCCCACGAGTCTCGGTGCTGCGTGGTGAGGATGCCGACAGGCTCAGAGTTGGAGTTTGCTGAGGCACTGCAGATCCTCTCCAGCTGGACGCAGAGCTGATCTGCAGTCAGCGGAGTTCCGTCGCTGTTGTACACGTCCAGCACAAAGAACTGGATCCAAGTGGAAGAAAGAGGTCGAGTCAGAAATCAGTCTGCCAGATGCAGATGCAACAAAACCTGGTGTCCAGACCTGTGTCTAACACATTCTTTGAATAGTTCCTGATTTAAATTAGGAAGCAAAAGTGCTAGAGTGGTAACTTTGGGGGATTTGTTAATCTTTCTACTAGGGTGACATACAAACATTCATCCATCACAAGTGATTAATATACTGATTTGTTTCTTAAAAATAAGCCCAGTCAAAGTTTTTTTTTTTATGAATCAAAAATGCAAAAGATGAAGGAAATGATCCTGAAACTAGACGAGTGCTCAGTTCCTCCTTTTATATGAATCACAAAAGGTTTATGTCTGTGGGTATAGATCTGCAAACCTATATAAATATTACTACTTTGGAAGAATGTATTAGGGGATAATGCTAACTGCAGGCTAATAGCCTGGAACAAACCCTAGAATACTGTATGGCATTAGCTGAATATCGCCCCCTAGTGGTGGATGCGGTGAAAAAAAACAAAAAAAACAAAAGGTCCCAGTGTTTAAAACTCTCAGCCTTAAAATTAATTACTAACAACAGCAAGCAGCTAGACTCTATTAATAAATAGGATGGCTGACTGTTTATGATTTGTGCTTTTTTATTGTTTCTAAAACGTGTAAAGCAGTGCCAGGACTGCCAAAGGCCATGCTCGCTCAGATGTGCTAACTACAAAGCAAGTTTAACATATCCAGGATCGCTTTCCTTATGTAGTTTCATTTATTATCGCCATTCAGGATAGGTGATAAAGATAACACATCGCTGATCAATCAAGCTATGAGTGTGTTCACACAAAATCTTAAAATCTGAAGCAGAGAAAATACATAGCCTATGCATTTTGATATTTCAGCCTCGGTGGTTTTAGATTAGATAAAACTTTATTAATCCCTCAAGTAGGTTCCTCTGGGAAATCCTTCTTTTTTAAAGGATAAAGGATGTCCAAAACACCACACAGGTTTCACGTGACTGCTCCGTTCAGACCCATGAAAGTGCCGAGTGTACTCTGGAAAACTCAAGTTTACCGTGTTTGCTGATCTCTAACGTCAGGCTGCAGAAGGCGAGCTGCTCACCTGGAAGTTGTGCACTACGGTGATGTGTTTGGGGGGTCGTGAGCTCTTGGCGTGGTTCACCACCGAGTCTCTCTTCAGACCAGGGATCCGGCATGATGACAGCACCTCGTAGTACTGATTCATGCAGAGAGGCTTCCCTCCCAGGTACTCGACCGGAAGAGTTTCACTGAAAGAAAAATATTCTATCATTTACTGCATGCTTCGGTTTGACTGATTAAAACGTATTCAGGATCATGTGATCTCATTAAAATGTAGAATTTCATCCCTGCTGAATATAACTGAATAAAAACCACATTTTAAAATAAGTACTCACTTATCGATCATTGTCTTAAAGTCCAAAACGCCTGCTATCAGTTTAGCTGCAAACCTGAAGACAGATAGACAGAGATCAATATAATCTATTGAGTTTCAGTGACAGGAGCCCAGAGATTCACAGGGTATGCCAAAGAAAATGCTGAAAAAACATGAAACTTTGACAAAAGAAAAAAAAAGAAAAAAGGAAAGGAGTAAAGGAAAGGAAAGATGAAATAAAAATGAAAGAAAAAAATAGGGGAAAGGGAGGGAGAGGAAATGAGGAAGTGAGAGTGAGAACAAAAAGGAAATGAAGGAGAAAAAAGTAGACGAAAGAGTAGAAGAAGAAGAGGAAGATGATGCAAGCTTATGAGTGGAAGGAAGGAAGGAAGGAAGGAAGGAAGGAAGGGAGGGAGGAAGGATGGAAGATCCAAAGCACCTCAAATACACATCAAACCTCTGAACACCGAAACTGTCAGCTGGAGTGGAAGGTCTGATCTTTTATTTACTTCAATGACTGAACTGAATATGTTTATGATGGACACATGGATTCAGACCTAACCCTAAACACCACGGGATCTGGTCCAACCAGATCCTGTAAAAACAAACAATTCAGTCATCATCAGGGAAATCAAGGTGCACGACTTTATACTGCAGGGAAAGAGACACCGAAAACCTGTTTGGGATACAGAGCATTAAAGAGACTCTGACATTTGGAAGAAGCTGCATGTGATCACCTTATTTGTCCTTTCTTATCACTGAACTTCATGCGAGGCAAAACCAACCCAGGACTTGAATGGACGACCACAGGCAAACGATAGTCGAGGTAAGCCACCTGAACCCACCACTGTGACAGCTAAGAGAGACAAACACACAGATAGGCACTGAGTGGATCACACATCAAGAAGAAAGCCACAAAATAACTTTGTTATCAGATTTTCCTTTAAAGAAGAAATATTAGATCAGTTTACAGAAAGACCCCTTAGCCTCTCCCTCACCAACAACAAAAACTAAGATGAGGCAGGACGTCTGACATCAACACTGCATAAAAAAGGTTGAGAAGAAACTGCTCTAGACAGTCAGTTTTTTTCTACTCTTAGGTCTGTGTGATGTCATACAGGAATATCATTAATATGGTCAACTCAGGCACAGAAGTCACACCCTCCTGCTCTTTGAGAGGGGTCAGCCAATCAGAAGAAAGTTGGCTGTGAGGAGTGTGAGGAAGTGAAATCTGACTTATTTCACACAGAGGAAGAATTAAAAGCCCAAAGTAAGAAAAAGGGGGATTATTTTGAACTGAAATTCAAACAAAGCTACTCTAGCAGACTCCAAAAATGAGAGTATGGAGGTGGAAATAAGCACCATAAGTCTAGTTTAATATATTTAAAGGACCAGAGTGCCAAAAACAAGGTCCCCTTTTTGAGCTCACCCAGTTCTCAGTTTTGGATGCCCTCTTCTCCAGACCCCTCTGCAGCTTCTCTCCAAGCCCTCCGGCTCGCTGAAACTCCTCCAGCAGCCCTTTGGTGTGCTTCAGCTCGTCTGCCTCCACAATGGGCTCTAGGGCAGCAAGGTATCGCTCACAGGTCTGCTGCAAAGGGGGGACAGGCAGGCATGGCAGCCCCTTCTGGTGGGTGAAGTATCGGCCAGCGACTCGAGTGGCTGATACCGGTTTGACCAAGAAACTGGTCTTCACAAAACCGCAGGGCTTCATCATCCCCACCTTTAACAGAGAAATAAGAGAAAAGACATTAAGACAAAAGGTTTGACTGCCACAGCGGATCATCAGCCACTCCCACAGCACATCTCACCACCTCTCGCTGTCCTCATTCATGTCCTGCACCATCCTCCCATACTTCCCTGCCACTCCTGACTTCCTTATGCACTATAACATTTCCTCTCTTGGCACCCTATCATATGCTTTCTCTAGATCCACTTCTCCATAAACACTGTCAAAGCAAACCTCACATCTACAGTGCTCTTTTCTTGGCATGAAGTCACCCTCCTGCTTGCTGATCCTCAACTCTCTCCTTAACCCAGCTTCAACAACCTTTTCCCATAACTTCATAGTATGGCTCACCAGCTTTATACCTCTGTAGTTATTACAGCTTTGCATATTAGTTTCATGGGGAAAACTAACATCACAGGATAATGAGCAGAGGGTCAACAGCAAACCCACAAAACCAGATTATGATTCAACCAAAGAGTATTTAATGTGTTTAAAAGGTGTGCACACATGCTAATCTCATCGGTTTATTGTATTTTTGTTGTAGCATTTGCTTTTAATCCAACTTACACAGGCTTGGACTACATTAAAGGTATCTTTAAAGCTGCAGTCACGCTGGTGTTCCACTGTCTTTGAGCTAAATTCACCTTTCACCCACTTCTGTAATTGCCGGTGCGTTAAATATTAGCCACAGCTAACAGCTAGCAGCTAACAAACAGAATTTTCCGCCTAGTAGCAGCAGCGAGCTAATTAACTTACTCTAGCTCAGAAAAAAAAACGTGTCTCGGGTGAATTAATTAACGTGGCTGTCATTAATTCTGTCAGAGTGTGAAAGCTGAACTCGGGGGTGGGGGGGACACAAACAAACCAACAATCAGTCCGCTAAAGCTGCCGTTACTCACCACAGATCTGCTGCAAATGCCCCACATTCTGCAGTCGGAGGTAGAAACGCCCACAAAAACACAGAGAGCAGTCCAATGAAGCACAGAGTCCGGCCAGCACAATCTTACACAGCTTTATTTTTTTATCCGTCAGGCGGGCGGTGCTGTAGCCTGACTGCACAGCCTCTCTGCAGCTGCTCAGTGCTTTATCTGCTAAAGTTACTCAGCTGGAAAAGAGCCGGGGTGACCGGCTGCCCCAGATGCCATAAATATAAGTGGCAGAGTGGCAGTTATGCGCACTTATAAGTACAAATTCTATGTAACCTCTTAGTTTCTCGTTTTACTCCACTATACGAAAGCATTAAATGTACTTTAAGATAAAAGTTTGATTTTCAGCAATTTGAGAAATCTTGGGGTGCCACTCAGTATGCGAACATGTGGGGGCAGTACTGAGCCATGAGTAATGAGTCTGCCGGGAAAACACACCACGAAGAAGACTGTCAGCCTCGCCATGGCGGAAACAGAGCAGCAGTCAGGTAAAGCTCGGCTTGATGCTCGTGCTCGGCGTCAGCAGTGTGTCGTGTGTTGTTTATTTGACGCTTTAAAGGCAGTGCCCTTTAGAAACGAGGCTTTAGGGTTTGATTTAAGGGCTGTTAGATGAACCTGGAAGCCAAGAGCTGCCCACACTCACTGACTGCAGGTTCTCCACTTGGGCTGGTTGTATTTGAACTCTGTGGCGCAAATACGGTGATGTTAGCAGACTTAAGCACAGTCTGACAGAGACACAGTCTCCTTACCTGGCTGTGTGTGAGGTGTCAGCTTGCACACAGTGAGTAAAAAGTACTCAGTACTTTCTGGCTGCTGACCGGAGTCAGCACATTGATTAGTGTCGTCTTTAAAGGGGACCTCGATTCCTGTGCTTGAATAAAGTTGTTGAAAACACACTGGAAAGATTATTAAATTACTTTACTAATACTAGTTATTGAATGTCGGTGAACAGGCATATCCTTTCAAGCAGAGAAAAAGCTCTGCAGATGCAGTGTTAGCTTTCAGAGTATTGATGGAGAAGGTCAGAAGGAGCTTCACTGTGTCTTTGGATTTAGAGAAAGCTTATGATAATAGGGCGCTAAGAGAGGAACCGTGGTACTGCTGGGTTGAAGGTGGGTTTACATCAGCGGTCGTCTTTGAGCTTATTTGCAATTCAATTTTATTTATATAGCACCAAATCACAACAAAAGTCGCCTCAAGGCGCTTCATAGATACAGAGAAAAACCCAACAATCATATGGCCCCCTATGAGCAAGCACTTTGGCGACAGTGGGAAGGAAAAACTCCCTCTTAACAGGAAGAAACCTCCGGCAGAACCAGGCTCAGGGAGGGGCGGCCATCTGCTGCGACCTGTTGGGGTGAGAGAAGGAAGACAGGATAAAGACATGCTGTGGAAGAGAGACAGAGATTAATAGATATGATTCAATGCAGAGAGGTCTATTAACACATAGTGAGTGAGAAAGGTGACTGGAAAGGAAAAACCCAATGCATCATGGGAATCCCCGGCAGCCTACATCTATTGCAGCATAACTAAGGGAGGATTCAGGGTCACCTGGTCCAGCCCTAACTATGTGCTTTAGCACAAAGGAAAGTTTTAAGCCTAATCTTAAAAATAGAGATAGTGTCTGTCTCCCGAATCCAAACTGGAAGCTGGTTCCACAGAAGAGGGGCCTGAAAACTGAAGGCTCTACCTCCCATTCTACTTTTAAATACTCTAGGAACAACAAGTAGGCCTGCAGAGCGAGAGCGAAGTGCTCTAATAGGGTGATATGGTACTACAAGGTCATTAAGATAAGATGGGGTCTGATTATTTAAAACCTGATGTTGATGCACAGGTCTTTGTGGACTATAATGTTTGCAGGTGCAGGAGGGTCTGGAGAGAAGAGGAAGAATACATGTGTGTGAATAGGAGCGGCAGGTGTAACGGTGATGCTGCAAGGAATAGAAGTAGTGAAGATGGATGAGTTTAAATACCTGGTTGTGAACCATACAAAGCACCAGACAACACTGAAGAGAGGTTGGAGACTGGTGTCGGAGATTTGTGATAGAAGGGTAGCAAAAAGAGTGAAAGTAAATATTAACAAGATAGTAGTAAGACCTGCTGTGGTGTATGGCTAGGAGATGGTGACGATGACAAAAAAGAACAGGAGGCTGAGGTAGAGGTGGCAGAGATGAAGATGTTCAGATTTTGATTGGGGTTGACCAGAATGAACAGGTTCAGAAAGGAGAACATCAGAGGGACTGATCAGGTTTAACGTGTGGGAGACAAAGGATGTTAAACATGGAAGGAAAAGAAGCAGACCACAGAGAAGATTCGTGGATCAAACGATGGAGGACGTGCAGAGGGTTGGTGTGACAGACGAGGATTCAATGGAGGCAGATGATCAGCTGTGGCAACCCCTAAAAGGAGCAGCTGAAAGGGCATTAACCATAGACTGTATATAAAAGATTAATGTAACAACTGTGATGTCACCCAAGTTTAACTTTTTGGCTGTCACCAAACATGAGTGAGAAAGCGATTGATTTTTGACTCTAAATGGCGATAACATTTACTAAATAAACTTCATGTTTGTTTTGGTAACTGAGTCCATAACATCATCGGTAAAGTGTTTACTCAGATCATAAATTAAGACTGAAGTAGGCTTATTTTCTCATAAACAGCTATACAGTCTGATCTTTGCAACCTGGAGTCACCCCCTGCTGGACATTAGAGGGAGTGCAGGTTTACATCTCAGACTGTATAGAAAAGATGGAAACACCCACTGGTTTTTGACTCAGCCTCATTGTTATTCGCCCCCATTTTAGGTTTTTGAGGCCAAAGTGACCATATTAGGACAAGGGGGTGAAATTAGATGTTGACTCTAGGGGACTAGTTTGCTTATGGAGCCTCTAGTGGACATTAGAGCAACTGTAGCTTTTGTTGCATCACTTATCAGCTTGAGTGGTTGAAGTTTAGTTCAGAGCAGTGTGCAGCCGGAGCCTTTTGCTCATGGGGATTACTTATTTATGCACTGATGTCATGAAAATTCTCTGTACTGAATTATTTTTTAGGATCGACTCCTGAAGATGAAGCCCCTGAGGAGGGGGCCAGCTTCACCTTTATGGTGCCTAAGAAAGAAATCAGCATGGTGCCTGACATGGGAAAGTGGAAGCGCTCTCAGGTCGGTTCCTCCCCGTGGGCGTCTTCTTCGAGAGTTGTCTGTCATATTGAACGTGATATAACCATCGACTATGAAGGAAAAGTGTGGCTGTGAGTCGTTTCTGGAGGCTGTCGGCTGTCACATGGTGAAATCGGTGACAAAGATGGTGCTGTAGAGGGCACTCCACCAGAAACCGCCTTCTGATTGTTTTGGTTGCTACCAGGTTGCCTCTGTTGCCTGTAATTTGTGAGGAAGATGTCATCTGCAACAAACTTGTTAGCAAGTATTCAGTGATTTTCCAGTTTTGGTCGCCTCCTTGGTTACTTTGCCGGTACTGAGGGCGCAAGCACTCGCCACTCAGACAAAACCTTCACATGAGTCCTGATATAGGAGGAGAAGATCTCAAAATTGGAAGCAAAGGAGTTTTCCCAGATTGTTTGAAGAGAAGTCCTCCTCATGAAACATATCGGCAGCTGTGGAAATCTGCTAGCAACCAGATCCATCACAAGGTGGTTTCCCTAATAGGTCAAGGAGCACATGTTTTTTTCCCCAATGACATGGTTGCTGGCGGGGGCCCTACTGACTGACTTTAGTAATCAATTCCCCAAACTTCAGCAAATACTCAATAAACCTGTTAGAGGATACTAATTTTTCCTTGCCACCAGTGGTTTCCAGATGGTTGCAGACTGTTCTCTAGGCTTGTGTGACTGACCTTACATTGTCACCTTGTTTGTCACATTGCCAAAATGGAGGACAAGTTAACATCAAATGTTTAGCAGTCACATGTATGCCATACTGCTGGAACACTGGTCTGATGTGTGTGTTTTTAACTTGCCTCTCTGCTTTCAGGCCTACGCTGACTACATAGGCTTTATTCTGACGCTGAACGAAGGTGTGAAGGGAAAGAAGCTCACGTGTGAATATAAAGTGTCTGAGGTATGTGATCTGCTGGTTTTACCGTAGCAAGAGAAACGCAGCAGAGCATCAGCTGTCATTTAACGCCTGTCAGGTTAAACTTTGTCTGTAGAGAATCTTTGGTGCATTTTAAAGTGCCAAGCTGATAGTTTGGTGATGTTAACCAGAAAATGTGGCCTCGTGCATGTGTCACATATAAGCACACTACAAGTAAGAGCAACAAAAATGAAGAAAGCATTAAAATAAAGAATTTTGATTTTAGAGAAACCAACAGGCTTGAGCTGGTTTGTAATCTGCCCCGACTCACGATGGTCCTGCTGCAGTCACTGCCTTGTTACTTTTCCCAGACGGTGGAGAAGCTCATGGATCTTCTGGGAACTCTGGACCAATGGATAAATGAGACGCCTCCCGTCGACCAGCCGTCACGCTTCGGAAATAAGGCGTACAGAACCTGGTTTGCCAAACTAGATCAGGTCGGTACACTCACACATGTTCTAACACACATCCATGCACATGGGCTGTGGCTAGCAGTTAATTTATTTCTATGTTTTGTTTGTAGGAAGCAGAGGCGCTGGTGTCGGTGGTCCTCCCTGCTGATAAATGTGCAGCAGCTCCAGAGATTGCCGTCTATCTGAAAGAGTCTGTGGGAAACTCCACCAGGATAGACTACGGCACAGGTTACAGTGCTCTATGTCACTTGAGTTATCAGTTAGCTTTGATTGGTTATGTTGCTACCAGATCTTTCTTTCCTCCACAAATCAAAACAAATTTGTTGCTCCACCTGAACTTGTTGCAGCTGTTGTTGTTCTTTAGTAGTTTTGCATCGTCTCATCAGTGCTGGCCCAAAGCATTGCTCTGGTCTACAGCAGCAGTAAAACTCAGACCTGGTGCTGTAGTCAGATGCCGAAAAGTGATCTCAGCGGTGCGTTCGAGTGCAGCTCAGACACTTTGCAGACGAATCCTGCAGCTGTTTAATGTTCGTTTGTCTCTTCAGGTCATGAAGCAGCTTTCGCAGCGTTCCTCTGCTGTCTCTGTAAGGTTGGAGCGCTCAGGGTGGATGATCAGCTCGCTATCGTCTTTAAGGTGTTCAACAGGTGAGCTGTCACACTAAACTGCAGTATGCTGTTAATGCAATGGTAAATGTTCAGGTTTAAAAATCTGATTTTGTTACAAATGAACTGAACTGCTCTCCAAACAAACTTTAATTTACCAAAAAGCACTGCTCCCTATTTATTAGTGGTGCAACGGATCACGGTTGATCCGTAATCCAAACCGATCCCACTCAAAAGTTTAAAGTTATGGCTGAACTGTCCCAGGCATCTTCTGTTGCTCTAACTACTACAAATGGGTGGACCTCCAGGGCAACGGAAAGCTACGTGACCGTGACCGCTCATAATGAGCAGTATGTATTATTGTAGGGTCTACCTTACAATATAAAGCACCTTAAGGCGACTGTTGTTGTGATTTGCCGCTTTATAAATAAAATTGAACTGAATTGAATGGTAGATACAAAGACTGTACTGCCCTATATTGTATCATTTTTTAATAATTGCGTGGAATGAGTCTTGAGTTGAATGTTTTTAACAGGCAAAAAATACTTCAATAAGTAAATGTTAAAGTTTTGTCTTTTTTCTTGTTTTGCTGATCTGAAAATTGATCCGATCCGAACTGTGAGATTTTTGATCCGTTGCACCACTGTTTATTATACTCCCTACGCACTTCTCTTCTTTCTTTTTTTAACTCTCCTTGCTTTTATTACACTCTCCATAGTTTTTGCTCTCTTTCTCTTTCTAATAACATTATTTCTGACGTTATTACAGACCTGTGCCAGAATGAAACAGTCGCTGTTGAGACTGATCCCTACTACATGCACGAGAACATTGTCCTGATTGTGTTTTCAGGTATCTCGAAGTGATGCGGAAACTGCAGAAGACCTACAGAATGGAGCCGGCTGGGAGTCAGGGTGTCTGGGGGCTGGATGACTTCCAGTTTCTCCCCTTCATCTGGGGCAGCTCCCAGTTTATAGGTAGGAGCCATCAGGTGTTTTTGTGGAGGGAAGCACATGAGATTTCCTCTACATCTTTAGACCAGTCTGCTTGTTAAGTCTGAAATGAGCACTCCTTCATTTCCTCCATTTCCAAAAAAAAAAAAAAATCCTTTAAAGTAATCAATTCGTTCAGCTCATTCATGATTGTTTACAAGCTGAGATAGAAGTGAGAAGAAATTTTTCATCTAGGGATGACATAACTGGTGGCTTCGGGGGAAGAAGCTACCTGATCCATGTACCTTATTCCAGGAAAGGTGTCTTTTCTCCTGTGGAACTGAACATATGATGCAAACCTCAAAGATTATAACTTATTGGCCACCACTAGAGGGAACTGTGAGGTGCCTCATAGATGCTCTACATTAGGACAAACTGTGGTGTCAGTAAAAGGAAATAAATACTCAAACAGTTTTCCAGTGGCAATAAAGGAGCGGTCTACTCTTCCCACATTTAAGACTCAGCTGAAACCTTGTACCTTTGACCATCTTACTTCTATCTGATGGGTTTTTTGTCTTATTTGATTGGTGTAATGTTTTTATGTGAGATGACAGATGTAAATTAGCAGTTTTAGTTTATTTACTTATATTTTTGCTTTTTTTGATGTCCATTAGATAAAGAGAAAAGAAAATAATCCTCAATATTAGTGTCAGACAGAGTGTCTCATTGAGGTTGGCTGAGTGGGCAGCTGTTGTCAGAAGTGTCAGAAGGTCTTTGTATTTTCATTAGTTTTTATTTGCTTTATGTGGGTTTGCTCATTTCAGTTCACTTTTAGCATAAAAGTATTATGTTTTAGTGTCATTTTTAAGTTTCATGGAAAGTTTTGCTTGTTATGGTGACGGTGGCAGTATTTGTCAGATTGTAAGATTGTGTGTGTGTGTGCGCGCACACACACACACATATATATTTATTTATTTTTATTTTTTACATTTTGAAAATGTGAAGGCTCTTTAAGTTTGCATACATGTGGTGTAGTGACTGTCCCTGTACACTAGGGGTCCTCAGTCCATTATCGATCAGAGGCAGACATACTGGCCTAACTGCAGCTGCTAACAGTAAACATATTATATCTGGGTCAGTGCGTGAAAAATCAGTGACTCCCACATGAATCAGCTGATTTTTTTCATGTACAGTAACTTTATTTAATGAAGCAGTTTTACCCTCATACTATATTCTCACAGTTACATGCCTTCAAAGTGTACATATGCAAGTTGAAATTTGGTACTTTTTAATTATTTTACCACGACTGTGCTCTCATAACTTAACTCATAACCCCCAACTACATTAAACTTTAAAAAAAAAACCAACAAAAAAAAAAAAACACCACTCATAACCCAGTTTAAAAATAATGCAAACACATGCAAGACTTGCATTATTTACTTCAACGCGTGAAGGTTGAAGCTCACTTTAATATCAAAGCCTGATTCTATAAACGCAGGCAATGATTTTAAGTGTAAATAAAAATCGTATAAACCCCTATTTTATTCAAATTAGAACACAGAAAACACTTCAGGTGTTTAAGAAAACTGACATTTTTAAGAAAAATAGGAGCTTATTTGGAATGGTAGCAACATGGCTCAAAGGTTTATCAGAAGCAAAGGTGGACAGAAGATGACGCAAAACACTGCATCTACTAACTGAAACAGATTCAAAAAAAATGTTCCTCTCGCTCTGTTCAAAAGCCTGCACCTCTGATGGTATGTGGGTTCATCATCAGTGGAAAGGCACCATCAATGCTGAAAGGTATATACAAGCTTTAGAGCATCATATGCACCATCCAGACATCTTTTTCAGGAAGGGCCTTTCATATTTCAGCAGGACGCTACTAAACATTTCCAGCTCCATATTTTTGTACTTTGACTCTTTTATAGTAGCTTTGCATGATCATCAGTTTAAAATAATTCTTCGTTATCTTATCCTGGACCTTGAAGCAGCCCTTCAAGTCACCCTTTGTCTGTATAACAAGTTGGTACCTCCTCCTAGTTTAAGCCCACCTTTATTCTGATTGGCTGTCCCTCGTAAACAGAAGTGGGTGGGCCTTCTGTGCCTGAAATGAATATGAAATTAAGAAGGGAAGTAGCCTTTTTTTCCCCTCGTTTCTTTAAAAACACTTAAAATGAACTAAAACTGCTGTACTTCAGGTCCATAGTGACACGCGTTGTTGAGCATGTGCACTTACGGTCCAAATCTCCTCCTCAGATCACCCAACCCTGGAGCCTCGGCACTTTGTCGACGAGCGGGTGGTGAACGAGCACCATCAGGACTACATGTTTCTAGAGTGCATCAAGTTCATCAATGAGGTGGGGAAATCAAACTCCAGCAAACGTCCACCTGTGTCATTTTACTCACCTGGGTGACACACTGGTTAGAGAAAATATTAACAGCCTGAGGTCCTCTAGGTTGTGCCCCACAAAATTTAATTTTAGATTATTTTACTTTAGTTTGTTTGGCCTCATTTGGTACTAGGGCTGCCACGATTAGTTGACTAGTGACGATTACGTCGACTATTAAAATCGTCGTCGACTAATTTAATAGTCGACGCGTCGTTTGACGCTTTGTAAGATCCCGAAAGACTCAGGAATAAGTAGTAGGATTTAAGAGTGTAATAACGGAATAAACAGAAGATGGCAGCACTGCATGTCCAGGGATGCCAGCTGCTGTTAAACCCAGAAGAAGAAGCTCTGTCCGGTTTCATAGCTGTCTCCGGTTTCATAGCTGTCCAAATTTAGCGGCCGCATCCTTCGGAGGCCGCATTTGTAGGCCAATTACGTTACAGCAACACGATGAACCCTGTCCAAATTTTGAAGACTCCCCCAAACATGGCCGGAAAATGAGTCCTTCATTTCCCCAGATTTGAAGAAAGGGTCGGCCACAAACGACACACCCCAACCAATCTTAGAGTTCATAAAGCGGCCCAGCCAATTCCAGTTTTCAACAATGGCGGCAGCTACTTAGTTTCAATATTACTCTTATTACTGTTTCTGGGTCACAAAATAAACGTTTAACATATTTTCAGGCGAGAATGTAGCTATGTACACCTCAAATATCTGCTCAGTTTACCAAGTCATCACATATTTGCAAAAGTGCTCCGACGTTTTCGGAGATGTCTCTTACCCACCTGCTCAACAGCTAGAGGGTTCAAGGCTCACTAGAGCCGGCGAGAACAGTGATCTCCCAGCACATCATTTTCAAACCCCTACTCAGGTTAAACATGATATATGTGTCACTCAGATAATTTAAAAATGTAATTGTTTGGCTTTTTTCAGTGTTTTATTTGTTCCTCAGTAAATTGGTTTGGCTGAGATTAAAGTTATAGTTTTTACACAGCTGAATAAATGTCAAACAGAGAACTGATTAAACAGAAGTGTGAAATGGTCGAGAATTTACTCCAGTGTCCTGTTAAATTTTACATAGAAAGAACAGACGGCCAAGTTTATTAAACTCCACCGAGACAATCTGCAAATTTCATTAAAAGTTTAACAAACTATCATCTGGTCTTTATTTTCAGTTAACACATACCTTAAACAAGCTGTAAGCTAATGATAGTTATGTTAGAGGAGACGCATGCTGGTGCAATAAGCTGTACATTTTACGCCCAATGGATGCATGATCTGATTAGTCAACTATCAAAATAATCGTTTGTGGCAGCCCTATTTGATACAACCTTGTTTTGTTAACCTGCTTCAGTCCAACGTTTTTTGGGATGTGTTTATTTATTGGGACATATTTTTATGACCCATCCTACACCCCTGTTAAAACTAAATTTTATTACTTTTAAACAGGGTTATATGACGGATCATAATTTTCTTTCTTTTCTTTTCTGGTTGTCTGACTGAGGTACTGCACAGGAATTTCTACTCCTCTCTTGTAACAGAAATAAAGCAAATTTTAAATATTTGCCTCCCACAGCAAATAGAGGGAAGACTCCAACCAACAGCTGGTATGAAATTACAGAAACATGTTTTCAGAACTTACCATTACAAACAGTTTAGTTCACTTTTCTCTCTCAATCTAAAAGCCTCGACTCTGAGCTCCAGCTCCTCCATTTCTGATTGTTGCCTGATGGGAAATATTTTAACTTGCAAAATTGTTTGAATTGAGGTCAGTTAATTTCATAGCATCAACTTTGTGTATAGTCTTGCCATGCAAGATAGAAATTGTGGTCAATATGATAGCTGCATGATGTAAGTCTCCTGATCAACCACATCCTAACGATTCTGGAGGCTGTTTGAGAAAACAGAATTTAATGTCACGTTCAAGAAACCAGTTTGAGGTCCTTTAACATTTGTTTCATGGTGTGTTATGCTTGTGGTAGCGGGTATCTTAGGATGGCTACACGGTGGTCAAAATTTCCAATTTCGTGTTGACCAGACAGCATTTTTCATTTTCTGTTGTCCAGTTTCAGTGAGCCTGTGCAGGTCTTACCTGCCATGAGTGGCGTAGGAGTGGTGTGGCCTTCTGCTGCTTTAGCCCATCTGCTTCATGTTATGCATTCAGATGATCTTCTGCACACCTTGGTTGTAATTTGAGTTAGCTGCCTACCAGTCACTTTTCCTGCTCATTCTGATGCTCAGTTTAAACTTCAGCAGGTCGTCTTCAGCATGTCTGCCTGCTTAAATGCACAAACTTGGTGCCATGTGATTGGCTGATTCGGTTAACAACCATCTGAGCAGGTGTGCCTAATAAATTGACGAGTGAATTCATATTCTCTACTGTTAGCAGTGTACAACTAAGCATTTTAGATGTAACATATGTTTGTAGATGTATTGTCTTCATAAAGCTTTGACATAAACAGTTGACTACACCCTCCTGTAGATACACACATGTGTTTTGAAGCAGTTTGTCTGCATTCAATCAGATTTTATTTTCATGAATAGGAGCAGCTGAAAAAACCCTTTAATCACATTTAAGCTGGTTTAACAGAAGAGTCATATTGTTTATTTTGTTTTTGTGATTGTGATTTATTTCAGATCAAAAGCAATAAAAAGCTAAAAAATAAGCAAAAACCTTTTAAGAGGGAAAGAAACATTGGAAAACTAGTGTTTCAAGAATTGGCCTTTTTGTAGATGTAGAGGTTAAGCAAGCCTGTAAATGACCTTTGTTAGCAGGACGTCAGCTCCCAGCTTTTATTTTTGTTTCTTCACCTTCACTGTTTGGCTCAACAGTCTCCTCGCTCTGCATCACAATTGGACGTGGGTTTGTCCACGTGTGCGCTGCTGCCATCTAATGGACAGCACGACCACTGTAAATGCATTTAAAATTTTTATAAACCACTTTATCAGAGGGGGTTTAATCTCATTTCTGATTGGTATACAATCTGTGTGTGTCGTGAGACACTGCATGTAGATTTAGCTGTTAGAAGTAAATAGTTGGGCCACAGATGAATGTGGTTTTGTCCAGGAAAAGGAAGATGAAGAGGGAGGAGGAGGGAGAAAGGAGGCAGATGGATTTTGTTGGGAACGTGCCAGAGCAGGAACCGTTTGCTTTGTTTGGGGTTTTTGGAGGAAAAGGAGGGGAGGGAAGTAGATGAGGGCGTCGGTGGAGCGACTACATCCTTTTCCTCCTTCCCCTCCTCTTCTCCTTCCTCCTCCTCCCTGACCTCTCCCTCCTCCTCCTCTTCTGCCTCCTCTTCCTCACGGTCATGAAAGGATGCTGCCGCTGTGTCCGCAGAGCTTGTCAGCTGGCTCACAGCTTGTTTTTTCAAGCTTTTGTTTTCTTCTTTATCACTTTTCTTCAACTTTGGTTAGTTTTTATGTGAAACTTAAAGCAGGTAGTGTGTTGATTAGATACTAGCCCACACAACAAGCATGAGGCTGATTCTGTATGTTTGCGGCTGTCTTTCATATGGTTGTTTGTCAAAGTTGTATTAAAGCAACAGATCTTCCTCTGTGGAAACTACCAGAATATTCCCATTGAAATATGTATTGTATCTCAGTGTTAAAAAGGTTTTGAGATTGAGGGGTAAAAAAGAAAGTCTTTCCAGCCACACCACACTTACCTCAGCAATACCATAGCATGTCATTGCAAAGGAAGAATATATGATGGCATCACACAGGCACAGATTAAAAAAAATCAAACAATTTCACCCACCAAAACTGGAGCTCAGACTTCTTGTATGATCTGTTAGTGCGAATCTCCAAAGATGCCAAAACCACAAACACAAACTGATCGAGAAATTCAACTCAGGGGCTCCAGTTAGCTGAAGTGAAACAGACTAAGAGACAATCCATAAGTTTTTACAGTGGCGCAATTTTTCTAGTTTTGCCTGTGTGCACCACCACAGTGGTTTATAAACCAAGCAGTCCAAATGTGATTGAAGTGTAGACTTTAATTGAGGAGCTCTAACACAAGTATTACATCCTTATTATTGTAGGTTATTTACCTTACAGTATAAAGCAGCTTTAGGTGACTGTTGTTGTCTGTTTGGCACTATATAAATAAAATAAAATTGAGTTGAATCGGCAGCACATGGACGTAACTTCGCTGTCTGAAAAAGGAAGTCCCTGCCGAAATACTTAAAACCTGCATTCAGTCTGAAGGCCACCAGACGGTAGTTGATACAGATACTCTTCCTTTTGAAAAGTAATTGGACAGTTCACCAGGAAATAGTGTCATACTTGAATTAAGCAGATTAAAGATCTGAAGCTGATTTCAACTGAACTGGTAGGTTTTTGCATGAACTTTCAATATGAGGTCCAAGAAGATGTTGATGGAAGTGAGGGAGGCCCATCATTGGGCTGTGAAACCAAAACAAACCTGTCAGAGAGGAAGAAGAAACTCTAGCTGTGGCCATATCAACAGTCTGGTACACTTAAAAATAAGGAAAGCACCAACCAGCTCAGCAACATCAAAAACCCTGAAAGATCACAAGATGATTTAAAGCGGATGATCACAGAATCGTTTTTATTGTTAGTAAAAACAACTTCACAGCATCTACCAAGTCAAGATTGGTATCAAAGAGGTCGGCGTCTACACTCGAGAGACACCCTAATAATGAGTGTAAACCCAAGGTTTACAACAAAGAGCAAACCACCGGTTACACTCAAGAACAGGAAGTTAATGTTGAACCTTCAAAATATGCCCAGAAACCAATGAGAGAATTCACAGTGTCTTTATCCACCTTTGTTTTGAAGTTGCACAATTATGCGGGTCAAAAACCTTTATTTTGAAAGGAAAAACCTGGCATTTTTGCCTGAACTATTCAGTAAAACTCTTCAAAATAAACACTTTCCATTAGATTTAAGATAGGATTAGCTTGGGATTGCCTGTGTGTCCATAAAATAATGCAAGGTTTCTTTCCAGCTTACTCTTTGTGTCTATAAATACACTAAACACACTTTGTTTTTCTTTGTAAACAGTCTCAGATACACACGATAACACATCTTCAGCGCCCTTTCCTTTCTTGGATGTGTTACTGGCCTAATTCAGTCTCGACTGCCGGCGTGTTTGTCCTCATTTGTTTACTGTTGCCTGTAAGCATACACTCCACTCCATACCCGAGGATTTTCCTCCCATTCACACACATGTGGATACTTCAGACTCTCTTTTTTTTCATTTAAACACAAGGCTCTAGTGTGTGTGTGTGTGTGTGTGCGTCCTAAACATGAGTCACTTCCTTCCCCACATGCTCTTGTGAATCACTCCTTCCTCCAGGGAATACGGGCTGTCTCCACCCCCTCCTCCATGCCCCCCCCCATGTGTTCTCATGCGAGGCCCTGGAAAGTGTCTGGAGCTGTGTGAGGAGCCGGGGGTTGGATGAGGGGGATGGAAAGAAGGAAAGAAAAAGAAAAAAAGGAGGGGGTTGTTAGGTTGATTCCCCTCAGGGTCTGGGTTTGGGTTCCTCGGCCCTCCTGGGAGAAAATGGTGGGAAAGCCGTTGATGCGCCTCACTTTTTAATTTATGCATTTAGAAATTCATACATTTGTTTTTGTTTGTGTGTTTCTGAGCTTATGCAGAATGTATTAATTTTGAGGTGATTGCTGGATGAACAATCAGCCTTTTGTTCTTTTTAACATTCATCAAATCACTAAAAGCCCCATAATCAATGTAGTAATAATAATTATTATTTAAAAAAAAGCTTGTAATCAGAAGCTTTCTGCATGTCTTTATTGTTAAAAGTGTGACTGAAAGCTGATTATTCATTCGTGTAACAGAGAGACATAAAAGTTAACTGTGAAATGAAAACTAATTATATTATGATTTATATATCATGTAATGTTTGGTATCATAGCTGAAAAGGAACAATCCATCTGTTAAGTGATGACATATCAGCCCTGTTTCCGGCTCATTCCCAGCCTCTTTGGCTTCTTTTTAGCACCGTTCATGTGCAGCACATCTTTAAGCTCAGTTTTTAATAATTCACAGTGTAGTTACAAATCATGGGTTTGCAGTGTTTTGGTCAACAAAATGTTGGAAATCAGGAAATCATGGCAAATAGAAACTGTGGGCTCTCAGCCTGCCAGCCGTTGGTCAGTTTCTTGTAGTAGCCCCCTCTCGTTTGGAGTTTTTTGGAGTCTTTTTCACAGGCCTCAAATCTTAGACTTGGTTCAAGATTAGGCTTTGGCACAGACTTGAAAATGAGGATTAAACAAATTGTGTAAATTGGATCTGGCAGAAACCTACCAAATGGTATCACTCCATTCCTTAGGTGCCTGCTCTGGTTTGCATCTCTGTGTAGAACGATTCATCATGCAGCAAGATAACGTGCTCAACCACACCTCCCAGCTTGACTCAAAAATGACTCGAAGACCAAGAGGTGGTCACGCTTCCTCTCAAGTCCCATGACCTTGACCCTACTGGACCCTAATCGAGACTGATATCACAGGAGCTTTAGGATCTTCCGTGGAGTCCAAACAACTTGAGTGGTGCTGCCATTGAAGCTAAAGCGAGAGAAACAAAAACTCACAGATTCAACCTTTGACTGCTGATATTTGTTAAGATGATACCATTTATAATGAAACAGTTTGTTGTCATGTTTTGGACTCCACAGTTTCTATCTTAAACCAGCATTTTATGAATTCAAACATTATCGTCATCTTTCTCTGCATGGAATTAAGAAAGGAGGGTGACAGCTTAAAAAAAGTCTCATGAAACCCTGATTAGAGGTTAATCAGTTATTTATAATTGCAAAACAGTTTCTCTTCAAACTCTGAAATGTCACATTTGAAACTCTAATTACTAACCTTTTGGTGTTAGCAGTGGATCACATGACTGTGTGTCGTGGAAGAAGCAGAGCATTGACACCTGACCCTGCAGTTGTTTGTGTCTTTCAGCTCATTGTTTTGGTTGAAAGGTTTGCAGCCTAGTCTTTACAGCTTTATCAGCTGCTGATTTTCAGCCAATAAACATTTGTTTACTGATGTCTTATCACCTGTTGAAGTTGTGTGCACTTTTACTCATCTGATCGGAGTCTTTCATACCTTAAACAGCTAGTCACATGTCGTTGGTTCTATACATCCAATCAGAACAGTTCTTCATTAGAAATGGAAAGTAGAATTTTTTCTTTTTGGCGTCAAAAGATTGCACCAGTTTCTTTAAGGTGGAAGTTCAGCTAATTTGAGCTTTTTCTTCTTTTTTTTTTCTCCCTAACTCGATCCTTTGTTCATAGCTTGCCACTCTTTGGAATGCTGTCAGTAGCTTCACGTGACTGCCAACCATAGACTGTCTGCAAAAGGTGGACCCTTTGGTTTCTCGAATCCATATTTTGGAGCCTTGGTGTTAGCATTTTGGCAACCTTATTGTTTGCGTCTTGGTGTTTAGATCCAAAACTGACTGTAGTTAGATGAGATGGTGACATGCTAAGATATTAGCTAACTTAAGACTTTTAAACTTGAATTATTTGATCTTTTTCACCTCATTGTTTACATATTTATTGTCAGTAAAGGACTGTAGGTCCAGTTTAGTGACTCCCAGCACATGATATGATATCATCATCAAGCACTTTTCTACACCTTAATACTTTCTGTCTAACATTCACACTCTGGAAAACTTCAGTATTTTGCTCAGGGATACTTTGGTACGCAAGGGATCGAACCACAAACCTTCTGATTAATAGATGACCTGCTCTACCTCCTTACTACAGCCATACAAAGTGTTCCTCCAACTTCATAATGAGTGTTGTTCCTAGATCGTTAATGGAACTGACCAATCACCTTTCTTTTGACATTGCTTCAAAATGGCCACACCTCCAACAACCCCTGTGGTTTCAAAGATGTGCCATCATCTGGGCGAAATGATTGAACACTCACCAAAGCCTCTTACGCCAGTCTGTTTGTACCATATCCAGCACATCATGTTTTGTCCCTATCTCGCCTTTACAGGTCTATAAATAATTTTGGGCAAATGTTGACTTTTTAGTCTTTTAAGGTCTGCAGGAGTTTACACATTTAGAGTTTTCACTGTGTAAAAGAAAAGAAGTAATGGCCGTGGAAACCTTTCCTACCAAGTAAATGGGTTATATTTGGAATCCTCTGCATCTGATTCAGTTTAAAATGGCCAAAGCTCCATCAGTGGAGAAACTCTAGCCTTATAAAAGCTACCTTTACCACCCACAGGGGGGCTGTTTGAAGCTCTAAGACAGATTTTGGAGTAAAAAGGTTGAAATACTATCCTTTAAAAAAGTATTTAGGCATTGCGATGAAGTGGATTAAGGAGATGTAGAATTTAAACTGTGTCCCTCTTTGTGTGCAGATGAAGACGGGTCCGTTTGCTGAACACTCCAACCAGCTGTGGAACATCAGTGCCGTTCCCTCCTGGTCCAAAGTCAACCAGGGCCTGATCAGAATGTACAAAGCTGAGGTACGCCTGCCGCGCAGTCGTCGCAGTAATTTTGGTTGTAATAAAGCAATAATACACAAAAACTGGCTCTCAAACATCTTAGGTTGCCTGTCAATACATTTAACCCCACAGCAGCCGTATTATTGGTGAAATAAGTGGGCACACACCTTATAATGCTTTTTAAGTGAATTATATAAAAAAATATATAACTGTATAGT